GTCATAGGACTTACAGTCCTAAGGTGTGGGAGAAAGTTTCCCAAAGGGAACTCTTACCAAAAGAAGAGGGGAGAAATGTTGGGTGTGAAAAAAAAATAAAAAAGAAGAAAGAAAAGAAAAGTCACACATTTTTATTATACTTAACCTCATCCAGCAGAACTGTCTTCCCTACTTATTGAGTCAAAAATCTCTCTGCTGTACATAAATTTGTTAACAAACTTCAATTACTGAAAAGAAGAGGGAAGACACTGACACACATTAAAAATCTTCTCTGGTCTATGCCAATTTCTAGATATTTTAACGTTTACGACAACCTAGGTTTTTTTAATAATAACCCCCATTTACAGAGAAGGTAACTGACACTTAGGCTCATTCTGTACCTGTGATCAAACAACCTGAAACTGGCAAAACCTAGTTTCAAACACAGTTCTGCCTGATTCATTCTACAACCAAAGTGTTATGCTTCTTTTAGCAACTTTGAAGTCCAAGAAAGTGTTGTTTAATGTCCTTAAACAGACGGTGGGCACAACCATATTTGGATGCCTAAGTGGATGAATCAGTCAGTCAACAAATGTTTGTTAAGTACTCACTACTGAGTCCATAATATGAGTCCTACAGGAAAAGAAGAGACAAGTGGTCTAGTGATGCTCTATGATATAAGATTTACAAGACCTTGCTTCCAAAGTGGTTAAGTTGGAAAAACAAAACAAATATGCATTCAAAAAAACTTTAGTTTTAAACCATGTAATACTTATAAATACACTTCAGTGAGACTCGTCACCCTTGGGATTCCTGTTTAGAGTGTCATGCCTTGTAGATTGCAAGCTCCACCATGACACTGCTGCATCACAGTTGTAGTTGTTTAAATATCTGCTGATTGGTGATTAATGCAGACTACTTTCATGGGAGGTATCACAGAAAGAAGAAGTCTTGAGCTCCCTTCACAAAATAAATAATCTGGGGGTATGTGTTTTGTTTGTTTGTTTGTTTGTTTTAAAGACAGGTAGAATAACACTTTGCCCAGGAAGGAGAAAACTTGTGTGTGACCTTAGCTATCACCATTGTCTGCATCATCCTGGCTGACCAGGGCTAACAGCCCTGAGTCTGTCCATATGACTTGTTCATTGCTACTACAGTCAACATTGGAAAAGCCAACAATCTAAGATTATCCATAGCCAAGGACTCTCACAGAGTCTACATCACTCCCCTGGCACCCCCACCAGAGCTAGAGCTGGTACCTGTTGCTGGGAGACTTGAGGACAGGCTACATCTCTGGATCTTTTGCAGATATTCCCTAGCACCAGCCTGGAGTGTCAAAGCCACACTGGGTGGCTAGACCCAGAGTAGTAGTAGCACTCACAAGTAGTCTGGCTCTCAGGACTCCTACTCATAGGAGAAGGGAAAGTGTACTACATCAAGGGAATGCCCAGTGGGACAAAGGAACCCAGATAGTAGGCCTTAAGTACCAGATCGTTCTCCTGGTGGAAAGTCTCTTTCTGAAAAGGAAGAGTTACAGTGCCAGCCTCAGCAGAGAAAGTCTTAGGCTCTACTCCAAAAGTCAGGCAACCCCAATGCTTGTGAAGCGTCTTGGAGAAGGGGAATTTTTCTCCCTCTTATCCATCACTGCAGACACAGCTGGGGCTTTTCCCATGGGCGCTCAGCATGAGTACACCTAGAGGAAGGCTCTCTGGAACACTTCAGGATGACTCCATCCCACGGGGGGACACTCTCCAGGTACAGGCTTGAATGAAAAATAAAGTCACAATTCTTCCCTACTTGGAATATCAACAGGCTTGTACATAAAAAGAAGTGTCTATCTGAACAGAATAGCCAGAACATTGGCTCAGGGGTGTGTGAGAGGTAGATGGCTTTCCTGCTGGCCTGGCAGGGATAGGGGAGCTAAGGTGAGTATAGTTCTTCCCTCTGATAATGCCTTAGTGTATTTCGCTGAGAGCTCCCCCAGCCACCCTGGCCCATTGTTTGCTATTGTATTTAACCACATGCTTTAGCCACATCTTGTTACGCATGGACACCATACCCCTATTGGCATGATGCCTGAACTATTCAACCTAGTAAATAATATAATAGGAAAGCAAATAAATAAAAAAGTGTATCCCATGGAAGGAATGAGATAAGTTTTAAGAAACTTCTACCATTCCAACCCTATAGCAGATGGTGAACTCAGTCACACATCGAGCATATTGCTACTACAACCAGCAACTGAGAAAGCCATCATACAAAGACTCTCTATAACCAGAGAACTCATACAGAGGCTTTACCCTTGAAAGCACCAAGAGCCCAATTAAGCTACAATAAACAATAAACATTAAAGTCTCATCTTTAAGGAAGAAAAAAAGAATTTTTTTGAAAAATACAGTGAAATCACAAATTCAAGAATAATCAGAAGAAATAGTCTACACAAATGAGAAGGAACCAGAAAAATAATTTTGGTAATATAATAAAACAAGATTCTGTAACACCCCCAAAAGATCACACTAGTTCCCTAGCGATGGATCCAAACCAAGAAGAAATCTCTTAATTGCTAGACAAAGAATTCAGAGGGTTGATTATTACGCTACTCAAGGAGATACCAGAGAAAAATGGAAGCCAACTTAAAGAAATTTTTTAAAAATACAGGATATGGATGAAAAATTCTCCAGAGACATAGACACCATAAAGAAAAAGCAATCACAACTTCTGGAAGTAAAAGACACACTTAGAGAAATACATAACCAGGAAAGGACATAACAAAAAAAGAAAACTACAGACTAATATCCCTGATAAACCTACATGCAAAAAATCCTCAACAAAATACTAACTAACCAAATTCAACAGCACATCAAAAATATAACACACCATGGTCAAGTGGGCCTCATTCCAGGGATGCAGTATGAACTGATGGGCCATGCCCTGGTACTGATCCATGGCTTATTAGGAACCGAGTCACACAGCAGGTATGTGGTGGGCAAGTGAGCATTACCACCTGAGCTCTGCCTCCTGTCAGGTCAGCAGCAGCATTAGATTTTCATAGGTGCATGAATCCTATTGTGAACTGTGCATGCAAGAGATCCGAGCTGCACACGTCTTATGAGGTGGAACAGTTTCATCAAGAAACTATTCCCCCCATCCCCAACTTTCATGGAAAAATTGTCTTCCAGAAGACAATTGTTCCAGAAGACAATTTTTACCAGAAAGTCTGGGGATTGCTGGTTTAACACACATGAGTAAATAAATGTGATACATCACATAAACAGAATTAAAAGCAAAAACCATATGATCACCTCAATAGATGCAAAAAAAAAAAAGCATTTGGTAAAACCCATCATCTCTTTATGATTTAAAAAAAAACCTTCAACAAACTAGCATAGAAGTGACTTACTTCAAATTAATAAAAGCCATATACGATAAACCCACAGGCAACATCATAATGCACCAGAAATGTTGAAAGCCTTCCCCCTGAGAACTGGAATAAGATAAAGATGACCACTTTCACCACTTCTATTCAACATAGTCCTGGAAGTTCTAGCCAGAGCAACCATGCAAGAGAAAGAAATCAAGAGCATCTAAACAGGAAAAGCAAAAGTCGAATTATCACTGTTAACTGATGATATATTGGTATACCTAGAAAACCCTAAAGACTCCTGTAAAATACTCACAGATTTAATCAATTAATTCAGTAAAGTCTCAGGTTAAAAAACGATGTACATAAATCAGTAGCCCTGCTATATACCAACAATGACCAAGCCAAGAGACAAATCAAAAATTCAATCTCATTTAAAGCAACTATAAACAAAAACAAAACAAACAAACAAAAAAACCTAGGAATATACTTTACCAAGGAGGTGAAAGATCTCCACAAGGAAAATTATGAAACACTGTTGAAAGAAATCATAGATGAAACAAACAAATGGAAGCATATCCCATGCTCATGGATTGGAAGAATCAATATTGTGAAAGTGACCATACTGTGCAAAGCAATCTACAGATTCAATGTAATTCCTATCAAAATACCAACATCATTTTTCAAATAATTAGAGAAAAAATGCTAAAATTCACATGGAACCAAAAATGAACCCAAATAGCTACAGCAATCCTAAGCAAAAAGAACAAATCTGGAGGCATCATATTAGTGAACTTCGAGTTATGCTACAATACTATAGTTACAAAAACAGTATGGTATTGCTATGAAAGCAAGCATCTAGCTCATTGGGAAAGAATACAGAACCTAGAAATAAAGCCACCCAGAAATACTGACAGCCACCTGATCTTCAACAACGCATACAAAAACAGAAATTGGGGAAAGGACACCCTATTTAATAAATGGTGCTGGGAAAACCTGCCAGCCACATGAAGAATAATAAAACTGGATCCCTATCTCTCACCTTATACAAAAATCAACCCAAGATGGATCAAAAACTTAAATCTAGGACCAAACACCATAAAATTTAAAAAAGACAACCTTGGGAAAACTCTCTGGACATTGGCCTAGGCAAAGAATTCATGACTAAAACTCCAAAAGCAAATGCAACAAAAACAAAAACAAATAAATGGGACCTAATTAAATTAAAAATCTTCTGCACAGCAAAATAAATGATCATCAGAGTAAACACACAACCCATAGAATGGGAGAAAATATTTGCAAACTATACATTTGACAAAGGACTAGAATCCAGAATCTGCAAGAAACTCAAACAAGTCAGCAAGAAAAAAATAATAATTTCATCAAAAAGTAAGCTAATAATTTCATCAAAAAGTAAGCTAAGTATATGAATAGACATTTCTCAAAAGAAGATATACAAATGGCCAATAAACACATGGAAAAAAATGTTAAACATCATTAATCATCAGGAAAATGCAAGTTAAAGCCACAGTGAGATACCACCTTACTCCTGCAAGAATGGCCATTATCAAAAAGTCAAAAAACAATAGACATTGGAATAGATGTAGTAAAAGGGGAATACTTACACACTTCTGATGAGAATGTAAACTAGTACAACTTCTGGAAAACAGTATGAAGATTCCTTAGAGAACTAAAAGTAGATCTACCATTCAATTTAGCAACCCCAGTACTTGGTATCTACCTGTATTAGTCCACTCTCATGTTGCTGTTAAGAACTACCTGATACTGGGTAATTTATTTATTTTTTAAAAAGGAGGTTTAATTGGCTCATGGTTCCTCAGGATTTATGGGAAGCATGGCTGAGTAGGACTTAGAAAATTTATAATCATGGCAGAAGGTGAAAAGGAGGCAGATACATCTTCACATGGGGGAGGAGGAGAGAGAGAGGGTGAAGGGGCAAGTGTTACACACTTTTAAACAACCAGATCTCATGAGAACTCACTGTCATGAGAACAATAAGGGAGAAGTATGTCCCCATTATTCAATCACATCCCACCAGGTTCCTCCTGCAACCCTGGGGATTACAATTTAATATTTGGGTGGGGACAAAGCTAAACCATCTCATTCCTTCCTCACCCCTGCCAAATCTCATGTCCTCCTCACATTTCAAAACACAATCCTGCTTTCTCAGCAGTACCCCAAAGTCTTAACTCATTTCAGTATTAACTCAAATGTCCACAGTCCAAAAGAGCCCTACACTTGTACCCTTTCATCTATGAGCCTATAAAATCAAAAACAAGTTAGTTACTTCTAAGATACAATGGGATTACAGGCATTGGGTAAATGTTCTTCTTCTAAAAGGGAGAAATTTCCCAAAACAAAGAGGGTACATGCCCCATGAAAGTCCAAAATCCAGCAGGCCAGTCATTAAATTTTAAAGCTCCAAAATAATTTCCTTTGACTCCATGTCTCACATCCAGGCAACACTGATGCAAGGGGTGGGCTCCCAAGGCCTCAGGCAGCACTGCTCCTGTGATAACAGCTTCTGTGGTGACAGCTTTCATGGGCTGATGTTGAGTGTCTGAGGCTTTTCCAGGCACATGGTGCAAGCTGTCAATGGACCTACCATTCTGGGTTCTGCAGAATGGTGGCCCTCTTCTCACAGCTCCAGTAGGCAGTGCCCTAGTGGGGTCCCTATTTGAGGGCTCCAACCCCAAATTTCCCCTCTGTACTTCCCTAGTAGAGATTATCTATGAGAGTTCCACCCCTGCAGCAGACATCTGCCTGGACATTCAGGCATTTCCATACATTCTCTGAAATTTAGGCGGAAGCTCCCAAGCCTCTACTCTTGCCCTCTGCATACCCACAGGCTTACTGCCACATGAACGCTGCCAAGGCTTATGGTTTACACCCTCTGGAGCAGCTCCCTCAGACATATTTGGGGCCCTTTTAGTCACGGCTAGAACTAGAATGGCTGGGATGCAGGGAGCAGTGTTCTGAGGTTGTTCAGGGCAGTGGAACTCAGGGAAGTGGGACATCTGGACCCTGGGCCCAGCCTACAAAATCATTCTTTCCTCCTAGGCCTGGCTTGAATTCCTCCCTAGAAAATGGGTTTTTCTTTTCTACCATGTCAGGGCTACAAATTTTCCAAAGTTTTACACTGTTTCCCTTTTATATATAAGTTCCAGTTTCAGATCATCTCTTTGCTCACAAATATAAGCTTATGCTGTTAGAAGCAGCCAGGTCACATGTTCAATGCTTTGCTGCTTAGAAATTTATTCTGCCAGATACACTAAGTCATTACACTCAAGTTCAAAGTTCCACAGATCTCTAGGGCAGGGGCGCAATGCCTCCAACCTCTTTGCTAAAGAATAATAAAAGTAACCTTTGCTCCAGTTCCCTGTAAGTTCTTCACCTCCATCTGAGTCCCCCTCAGCCTGGACTTAATTGTTCATATTATGATCAGCATTTTGGTCACAACAATTTAACAAGTCTCTAGGAAGTTTCAAACTTTTCCTCATCTTCCTGTCTTCTTCTGAGACCTCCAAACTGTTCCAACCTCTGCCCATTACCAAGTTCCAAAATTGCTTCCACATTTTCAGGTATCCTTAAGCAATGTCCCACTCCTCGTACCAATTTTCTGTACTAGTCCATTCTCACATTGCTATAAAGAACTAACTGAGAATGGGTAATTTATAAAGAAAAGAGGTTTAATTGGCCCAAGGTTCCACAAGTTGTACAAGAAGCATGGCTGGGGAGGCCTCAGGAAACTTACAATCATGGTGGAAAAAGGGGAAGCAGGCACATCTTCACATGAAGAAGCAGAAGAGAGACAGAGCAAAGGTGGAATGCAACACTTCTAAACAACCAGATCTCATGAGAACTCACTATCATGAGAAGAGCAGGGAAGAAATCCACCCCCATGATTCAATCACCCTCCTCCAACCCTGGGGATTACAATTCAATATGAGATTTGGGTAGGGACATGGAGCCAAACCATACAGCTAGTGCTCGACTTACGACCACGATTGGTTCCAACAGACCGGTCATAACATGATTTGGTCATAAGTTGAGTAGGCTATATGCACGTGGAGATGGTAGTGCTGCCGGAAGCTGGTCCGCACTGTCATACGCCCAGCTGGGCAACGTTTGCACTGCCAAACACGGAGCAGTCGTGGCTCGCGATTGTGGTCATAAAGTCAAATGGTAGTGCTGCCGGAAGCTGGTCCGCACTGTCATACGCCCAGCTGGGCAACTTTTGCGCTGCCAAACGCGGAGCAGTCATGGCTAGCGATTGTGGTCGTAAAGTCGAATGGTCATAAGTTGTATAGGTCATAAGTCGATCAATACCTGTATCACTATTCAAAAGAAAAGAAATTATTATATGAAGAAGACACATGCAAATGTATGTTTATTGCATCTCAGTTCACAATTGCAAAGATATGGACCAACATAAGTGCCCATCAACCAGTGAGTGGAGAAAGAAAATGTGGTATACATACACCATGGAATACTACGCAGTCATGAAAAGGAATAAAATAAAGTCTTTTGTGGCAAATTGAAGGGAGCTGAAGGCCATTATTCTAAGTGAAGTAACTCAGGAATGGAAAACCAAATACCATATTTTCCCACTTATAAATGAGAGCTAAGCTATGAATATGCAAAAACATAGAGAGTGTTACAATGGACTTTGGAGATCCAAAAAGGGGAAGGTAGGAGAAGGATATTAAAATCTATATAATGTGCAACATACACTACTTGGGTGATGAGTGCACTAAAATCTCAGAATTCACCACTATATAATTCATCCACGTAATCAAAAACCACTTGTACCCAAACACTATTGATTTTTTTTTTTAATATTTAAAAAAGGAAGAAAGGGCAGGGCACAGTGGCTAGTGTCTGTAATCCCAGGACTTTGGGAGGCCAAAGCGAGCAGATCACCTGAGGTCAGGAGTTCGAGACCAGCCTGACCAACATGGAGAAACTCTGTCTCTGCTAAAAATAGAAAATTAGCCGGGCATGGTGATGCATGCCTGTAATTCCAGCTATTCAAGAGGCTGAGGCAGGAGGTGGAGGTTGTGGTGAGCTGAAATTGCACCATTGCACTCCAGCCTGGGCAACAAGAGAGAAACTCCATCTCAAAACAAAAGCAAAAACAAGAAAAGGAAGAAAGACATAATAGGCGTTCTTTAAATGTGGAAAGATTGGCTAAGGGAAGCAAGAATAATGTGAGAATAAGCACAGGAATGTAGCAGTGAGTGTGGTGTACATAGGGAAAAGTGAGGGAACAGAGTGTACCGAGAAGCGGGCTCTCTGTTCTGATTGTGCAGAAACCAGCGTTAACTCACAATTTTCAGTGGCGCTAGCACTGTCAAGTTTTTTGTTTGTTTTTTCACCCAAGAAAGGAAGATGTTCAGACTACAGATTGTGTTCAAGAAATTGTATATTTTTAGTTGAACAAATAGCGACGTTTGGACATAAATGAAGGAAGGCACATATACTGTACAGAGACACAAATCTTCCCATCTCCAAAATTTGGACGTTTATATGGGAAATTTGGTTGGGCAGTCTGAGTGGAGGAAGATTAAGAAGGGCTTGGAAAATCAAAAGGGTTTCCTACCTGCATGATGCTATGAGGCATTGTGCCCCAGAGTGAAAACTGCATTTTTGTGAGTTGGTGTGGCAGGCTTGAAATACCACCTCTTTTAGCAGCTCACTCAGGACTGGTGACGGCTATTTGTACCTCACTGAGGGCTTCTCTACAAGAAAGCCTTGAATCCTTTCCTCCTTTCTTCTGCAGATTCACTATAGGACACTTTTTTGAAGCAAGAACATGCATTTCCCCCCTGGCGCTCCGCAGCAGTCCTCGGAGCCCAGTGTCACTCACCTGGGTATGACTGCTCTTCCTTCAGAGAACCCTGGGACACTTAAGATGAAAGGCTCCCAGAAGTTAGCAAACAGCCATCTGTCTGTCTGGCAACGCTATGCTAAAAGCGACTTCTAGGATATTCGAAACCGCTTTTAAAAAACAATTAGTCGCTTCGACTTCCTCACCCCGCAAGAGTTAGGACGGCAGCAGTGGAGTGTTCGCTCAAGAGCTGTATTTATTTAGCGATTAGCCTAGCACTTTGATTTTAGGGCAAAAGCAAGCCAGACAGTGCGGCTGACGTAATGATCAAAAAGGCCACCTATCATTCACAGAGGACACCGGCCTCCCCAGCCTGATAATGTAACTATTTCTCTGCATCGGATTTTAATTTTTGTGTTTTGTTTTGTTTTGTTTCATCACTCCATGTAACTCATTCATGATTTGAAGCGGGCTCTGAGGAAGCGCGCTGCATCCTCTCGTCCTTGTGTGTCTGCTTAGGTCTCTCCGAAGCAGGTCCCTCTCGACTCTCAGACCTGCGTCGCCAGGACGCATGAAGGGGTAAGGGTGCGGGTCCCCTACCCCGGCGCGCAGCGCTGAGCGCTGGAATCCACCCCGCGGAGGCTCAGTGGGAGCTCCGAGAACTGGCCAGCACCTCGCGCTGCCTGCCGCCTCCCAGTCCGGGACTTGGGAAAGGAGGGAGGGGACGGGTGGAGGGAAAGTGGGGCCGGGCGGGGGGTGCCTGGGAAGCCAGGCTGCGCTGACGTCACTGGGCGCGCAATTCGGGCTGGAGTGCTTTAAAAAACGAGCGTGCAAGCAGAGATGCTGCTCCACACCGCTCAGGCCACGAGCAGCAGCGAGGCGCACCGCCACTGTCGCCGCTGCAGCCAGGGCTGCTCTTCGGAGCCGGCGTGGCTGCAACCAGCACCTCAGACCCCGCTGCGCTTCTCCTCGCAGTGCGTCCACGCCGGAGGGGCAGGAACGCGGCGCCCGGTGCTGCAGACGCCCGCTGAGTTGCAGAAGCCCACGGAGCAGCGCCCTGTGCGCCACAGCCCACAGCAGCCCGGTGCTGCCCTCCGCCGGCGTCCGGCTCGTGGCCCCCTATTTCGGGCACCATGGACATCTCCCTGCTCGGTGTGCTCCTGTCCCTGCCTGTGCTGCTGCAGCTGGTGGCCGCGGGCGGCTCACCCAGGTCTGGCGCGCTGCTGCGGGGCTGCCCCACACACTGTCATTGCGAGCCCGACGGCAGGATGCTGCTCAGGGTGGACTGCTCCGACCTGGGGCTCTCGGAGCTGCCCTCCAACCTCAGCGTCTTCACCTCCTACCTGTAAGTGCTTCCCCACTTCACTCCGGGAAAGAGGCTAAGAGGGGAGGGAAGGCTCGTCCAAGGCGAGGCTGGAAGCTCCTTGGCGCCCGCCTGCTCTGAAGGGGGCAGAAGAGTTTGTCAAAGGCATCCTGCCCCGGCCTGTTTGGGCCCCCAGAGAAATGCACGTGTCTCGTGTCTCGGGGAGTAGCATGCTGGCACTTTTGGGTCGCGCAGAGAAATGGCTTCGAGTGCAACCCGAGAAAGCGCTGCTGCCCCAGCAGCTTCCCAGTCCAGCGCTAGGCATATCGCAGGGCGAATTCCTGCAAATGGCAAATACAGGCATTTGCGTACGGAGAGGGCATTTCTACACCGAGCCTGGAACCCAAAGGCAGGCAGCCATCTGGTCCCCGCCCAACAGCTTCTCCGCGTCTAGTCGCATTCCGCGAAAAGATGGTCTGTGGAAAGTTTCCCCAAAGGAGAAACGACTTGCCTGGCTCCAAAGGGTTTTATTCTGCATCCCTTGAATGGTGACGTGATGTAACCTTTTTCTTTTCTTTCCTCTTTTCTTCCCTTCCTTCCTCCCTTCTTCCTTCCTTCCCTCCCTCCTTTCTTATTTTCTTTCTTTTTTAACGGCGTGATTAAAATGTGGCAGCCACAAACTCCGATTAGAGCTGCCAGAACGTTATCTTTACCTTTGGCTGCCCGCGCCGCCCTTTGAAGTGCCCGCGGCCACTGTGTAATCTTTAACCATCTCCTCCCCCGGGGGAGGAAAAGGGAAGTGGGCTGAAGGCTGTTGGGCTGGTAAACAGCGGCACGGACACCCAAAGGGAGACCTGAAGCTCTCTATCATCCCTGGGGGATCCTCCCAACCCTTCTGCCCACCACCACCACTTCCAAAGCCCTGAGGCAGCGGCTCATTGCATAATTTTGTCTCTGGAAAACCAAGGCCCGAGGGTAACAGGTGGTTGGGTGAACGCGGTGACCCAGGAGAAACCCTAGTCTCAGAGACGAGGCGTCTACTCCCTCCACCCCAGAGCAAAGCATCTGGGGCTTCATTGCTTCTGGCGGAGAGACCAGGTTCTAGGCCACTCCAGGAAACAGGTGCTCCTGACCACAAGGTGAAACATTGAGGTTTGAATTCAAGACATTGCAGCGAGCCCACCCCAAGCCCATGCAAGCCCAGTTTTCGGCTCCTCTGATGTACCTTGGCAGGAGAGAGTTGGTATGTTTGTGAACCCGTTCTTCCATCTGTTGAGTTGTTTTCTGGAGGGAAGAAACATGAAGAGGCTTGCACAACATTTTCCACTAGGTAGTGATTCTTTTTCTGGAGACAGAGTGAGGAAGAAAGAAAAAAAAAAAAAAAAAAAAAAAAAACTTTTACTTGCTTTAATATTGTCTTTAAAGAAAAGTACCATCCTGCTAGATTTTATGATTGGTAGATGGAAGGTTACCTCCTCATTTACCATAAAGCTGTTTTAACTGCTTTTTCTTTTTTATCTGAAAGAATGGTAAAATTATTTTTCCCACTAGGCTTCCCCTCAATTGCACTCAATGCATGTGGTACTGATATTGTTCCAGGAATGGAAATCTGCTCTCCTAAATGATCATGCTCTCAAAATTCACGTTTCCTCCTCCTGAACAGCTGTCTCTACTACAAAGCAGAATTCTTATCCCCAAGCTCTCTAACTGCTAAAGTCAGTGTTGCAAGGATCCTGAGCTCTCCAAAGCAGTGAATTTGTGAGACCAGTTTGGCAATTTTGCTTAGGAGCCTATCACTCTGCTTCTTTGCCATCACCCTGAAGAAGTTTGACTATATACAAGAGAGGTGTGCAGTGCCCCCAAACACTTAACCTACTATTTAAATTATACATTCATTATAAAATATGTTTAAGAATACAGAAAATAAGCTTATGAATAGTTCCAGATTGCTTTCTTCTCTCCCTTGAAAGAACAAACATTTGTTAGCCTTCCGTTACTAAAAGTTGGCATAAAATTCTGCTTTAAACCATTTCCCACATACCTCAAATGCATTTAACTGTGCCCTCCATGTGCTCAGGAGAACCTACTGCCACCTACTGCCAATGTTCCCTATGTATCTATAGATAGAACAATCTATCTATCTATATTACAGATAATCCCTTGAAGTTAAAATACTGTTAGGAAATTAAGTTTCATATTATTCTCATGTTATTTGATGACAGCCTGTACCC